ATGTTGCTACATCTTGTGGTGAGGAAACTAATACAAATATTGGAGTTACTGCATCTGGTGACTATTATTATCCATATTGGACATGTTTCTCTCCAGACACTGAATCAACATGTGGGTTTGGAAGTACAATCCAATTAGAATTATATAACACTATTCCTGCTATTAATACTTCAATTCTTTTCCATGCAAAAGATGTCAATGCTCAAAAAGCATTTACTAGAGTAAGTATTTATGAACAAAATGTTAGACCAAAAAATTCAATGTGTTCGAACGCTGAAGAAATTCATGTTCCAGCAATCAAATATTTCAATACAATGTTCTCTACTTCATCACGAAGAATTTGTGGATCAACTGAAGATGGAATAAAAGGTGTATGGTATCATATCACAGCTCCAGAAGATAAAACTCTTCAGGCATTAACTGATGACTCATCAACATTCTATTCCCATATTGATATGTATAAAGAATGTACTACTAACTTAGAAGAGTCATGGCCAAAAGAATGTGTTGCCTTTGGAGATTATACTACTTCTCCTGTTGGTCGAAAAGGAACTATTGTTTCTTACCCAATGAAAAAAGGTGATTCTGTTTATGTCTTTGTTGGAGCTCATAGCAATACCAACACTGGTCTTGGTAGAATTTCTTTCTCTTGGAAAGAAGAAGAAGGACTAAATGATAATAGTACTAATAGTGAAGAAGAAGATGATGATGGTTTAAGTGCAGGTGCTATTGTTGGTATTATTGCTGCTATTTTCATTGCATTTATAGTCATTGTTATTATTGTTACTATCATTGTGGTAGTCATTATCAAAAAGAAAGGAAAGAGTTATTCTGACTTTTAATTGACTTGTGTTGATTGATTTTATTTCTTATTTCAATCAGAAACTTTTATTTTGTGAATTTACTATTTAAATAAGTAATTAGAAGGTTAATATAATTAAACTTTGTTGTTTCAGAACAAAAAATCTAAATAAACGAGTTATTGTTTATATAAGTATACAATTACTCTAACTAGGAAGTATAAGAAGAAAATTTCTAGAAGGGTATATTCTTGGATATTTAATAAATTAATCTCTTATTATGTCAAAGAAGTTCATTAACAATGAAGAATGAAAAAAAGGGAAAAATAAAAGTCACAAAGGAAGAGAATTACCATATATAATTAACATATAACCTCAAAAAAACCTTTACAACTTTCGTGATATTAATAATCAAATAATTATTTATTTGTTAGAAATTGTTTATTTGAGTAAGTTAATCAAAACCGAAAAAGTTTTAGTTTATTTATACAATAAATTTGAACTATTGACTTTATCAATTTCTTTAATCACTTAGTTTTTATATCATTTATTCATGTGTTTTTATATTTTGTTGAAAATTAACTTTATTATTCCTCAAAAATAGATTTTATAGTTATATAAAACACTTATTTAACATTAATATTCAACAACACTTAAATGTAATATTATTTACTAAATATTCTCAGTTTAATTGAAACCAATACAAAAAAGAATTTCAAAAATAAAAAACCTGATTAAATATTTCAATCAGTCTTTGGACGTTCAGTTTCTTCAACTGGGGTTGTTTCCTTAGACTCAACTTTGCTTGATCTTTCTTTTTCTGCTTTTTGATCAATTTGTTCATATAAGACACCAACTCTCCAAATAACAAAAATGAAAAACAATGAAAATCCAGACAAATACATATTTCTTTCACTTCTGAATTTGCTATGATATGGTAAGTATTATTAAAGAAATATAAAAGTTAAATTACTAATAAAAAAACAAACTTTGAACTAATTGTTACTTTGTTTAAAAGAGGATTATCAACTCCAAGTTCATCTAATTCATGAGAACATTTTATTTGACTTCTAATAGATTCACAGAAGCAAAGAGTTAATATTGAAAGAACAACAATGAACAAAGTTTTATTCTTCAATACATGACGAAGGAAGAATGGAACTTTCTTAGCAATAAAAGATGGTAATGGGAATAATAAAATAACAAGCACAATAATCTCTATAACCAAGAAAAAATAAACACCACTCCACAATAAAGTAACCATGAAATGTTTTATTAAGATCTTTTTTCTGTTCTTTGTTCACAACAACTTAACTATTCTTTTTAAATAAATTTATTATTAAATAAACTTCTATTGAGAATAAATAAAATAAAATACGAGAGTATTTGTTAATAAGTTAATTCACGTTAAGATCATCTTGGATTAATAATAATGTAACAGCTACAACTACTGTTAGTGTTATAATATCAATGAGATACCCCCAAAACGTTAAAGATGCAACTAATTTATTCCCTTTAGGATAAGCAAGAGTACATAAGACTATAGTGTTAAATACAGGTGGGGTTGCACTTTCAATACACATAATTAAAACAAAGACAGGATCATCAATAAAAACATTATATAAATAACAAAGATAAATAACACTGACAAATGCAAATGGAAGAATGGCATATTTCATAACAATTCCAGACATAATTGTCCATGGACTTACACCTGATGCTACTGGTCCTCTTGCCATATTTGCACCAACAATCATTAAACATAAAGGTACCGTTGCTTGGTCTAATACCTTCATCGTATTTCCTACAATTCTTAATGGTCCTGTGAAGAAAAAGTTATATAACGGTTTTACAAATAAGAATAACATTCCAAAAAAGACAGCTAAGAAGGCTGGATTAAATAATTTACTAATAATTTCTCTAACCATTTTAGGTAATCTATTCCATTGTTTAGAAACAAATGAAGTAAATATATCCCATATCTTTATAATAAAATTCCATACAAATTTAATACTATTAATAATAGGATCATACCAATGTGGAATTTCTTCAAATATTTCTTCTGTTGGCTTATCATCATTTTTATGATCATTTAGTGATTCTTTTGATGGTTCAGATGGTTGTACTAATGGGAGTGTATCTTCATCATTTGTTTTATTTAAATTAATGTAGATATATCCAAGAATCCAAAACAACAAAGAAAACATAAATAAATGTGTTGAAATATATGCACTTCCTCTTTTCTTTGCTTGTTGTGCAGCAGCACCTTCCCCAAACAACGTTGTATCTGTTGTGAGTGAATCAATGATAGCCAATGCAATAACAGTAGGATTTCCAAAAGAAAAAGTATGTACAAAGACTCTTGAGTCTTTAGTATTCATTTTTGAAACAAATGCAATTCCTCTCATAAAGAATGCAGCAATGGCAATTAATGAAAAACATGACACTAACAAAGGCCACCAATTTAAAATATCTTTTGGATTATCTACAGACGAAGAAAGACGTGTTACAATTGTGCAAAACATTGGAAATGTGAATGTAACTTTAGACAATGCTGCAAGAGCAGGTTTTGTTAAAAACCCACGTTTAGCACTAACATAACCACATAAACCTACTAATACTAATTTACCAACTGTCTCTAACGATGCACGAATAATAACCCAAGTAGAGTTAGTCATTATTTGGTTAATTAAGTTTATTTCAAGATATATTCAATAAAACCTAGTAAAAAAACATAAATACCCTTTTCTCACTACCAAAGTTGATACAATTATTTTTAACTTGACGTTGAATTTATTAAATATTTGTGACGTAAAAAATAAAGAGTTGTTATTAAAGTATTTGCTTTATTTAAAATTTAATAGAAAATGATATTCTTAGACTTTCAAGTATAAAAAAGAAAAACACTCAAATAAAGTCTTATTTCAAATTTCTTTTTATTGTATTAGCTGTTTTTCAAATACCTCAAGAAAAAGTCCCAGTTGGAGACGAAATGGTGCCAACACTATTACACCAATTAGACGAGTTGAAGAAATTAAATCGTTGAAAATGCCATGTTAATTCAATTAAAAACATCAATAATTAATATAATCCTTCAAACAGTAATTTGTAGTATTGTTCTGATAAATAAAATTCTTTTCCTAATGCACTTACATTTGATGATTGAGTTGGTTTATTTAATGTCCATCGTTTATTAGTGTCTCCATGTTTAATAAAATCATCACATAATATTTCCACTAATTCATTTAATGTCATCTTCTTTCCCATAGCATTCATAAGGTCTGTGAGATGTTTGTGTAATGTTTTCTTCATTCGAATACGACTTGTTTCATCTCCTGCTTTAGTTGATTTTCCTTTTTTCTTATCTTCTAGACTCTGTTCCATTTATTTTGACTGAGTATAGTAAAACTATAGTTTTAAGTTCCTTTTATTCTTTTTATTCTTTTTGTAATTATTAAGATGGTATTTTCACAACATCACTTTGCATCTCTCTTTACAATGAATTAGTATTGTATTGGAATAGCAAAGAATTGATTTGAGACTTATTAGTTATGAAAGAATTGACAAACAAACACTGATTGTTCAAAAAGAATTATAGAAAAATTTTTCCTTATTTAAACCAATTTAACACAATTAAGAAGTATTAAAAAGATTATGTAGCAATAAAATAAAAGTTGTTTGATGATTTAGAATAATTTAAATTAATGGTTAAGAAAGTAAAATTCAATTTATTTGTTGAAATAATCAAAAATATGGATTAAAAAGTATTCAATTTATGGTTCATTCTTCAACAATTTTGGTTTAAGTTCAGCTGGAATTTCTAATTCCTTTGGAAATTCCCCATTTGAAATCTGGATCATTTCTTCCAAAATGTCCTCCAACTGCTGTCTTTTGGAAAATTGGTCTTGTTAATCCTAATTCTTTAATAATCATTCCTGGTCTCATATCAAAGTTCTTATTAACAATATCAACCAATATTGATTCATCACAAATTCCAGTTCCATATGTATTTACATTAATACTTAATGGATGTGAAACACCAATAGCATAACTTAATTGAACAAGAACTCTATGACAAAGTCCTGCATGAACTAAACTCTTAGCAATCCATCTTGCACAATATGCTCCTGATCTATCAACTTTGCTTGAATCTTTTCCTGAGAATGCTCCTCCTCCATGTGCTCCCCATCCTCCATATGTATCTACAATAATCTTTCTTCCTGTTAATCCTGCATCTCCCATTGGTCCTCCAATAACAAATCTTCCACTTGGATTATAATATCTTAACATTTTATCATCCATAAGTTCTTTTGGAATAACTTTTTGTGTAACTTCTTCTTCTAATCCTTTTGCAATTTCTTCATTACTTACATTGTCTGCATGTTGTGTTGAAATAACAATAGTATGAACTCTAATTGGTTTTAAATGTCCTTCAACTTCTTCATATTCTAATGTAACTTGTGATTTCGAATCGGGTCTAAGCCATGGTAAAATTCCTTTTTCTCTACATTCTTGAAGTCTTAAAATTAATTTTGTACTTAAAACATGTGTTAATGGCATCATTTCTTTACTTTCATCAGTAGCATATCCAAACATAATTCCTTGATCTCCTGCTCCAATATCTTCTTCTTTCTTTTCAACATGAACTCCTTTAGCAATATCTTGACTTTGTTGTTCAACACATGAAAGAACTGAACATGTTTGATAATCAAATCCTTTATTTGTATCATCATATCCAATAGATTTAACAACTCCTCTTACAATCTTTGGAATATCAATAACTGCATTAGTAGTAATTTCTCCAAGAACTAAAATAAGTCCTGTTTTTGTTGCTGTTTCACATGCAACATGTGATTTTGGATCTTGTGCAAGGCATGCATCAAGAATAGCATCGGAGATTTGATCACACATTTTATCTGGATGTCCTCCAGAAACACTTTCCGATGTAAAGAAAAATCTCTTTGCCATTTTCTTCTTTGAACTTTTTTAGTTTCTTATTCTCTTTAAATATTCCTGGAGGGTTTCTTCTTCAAAAAAATTCTGTTGTTCATTCCTTTTCTTTGTGAATGAATTTAACTTAATCATTCCTCTTCATTTTCTTCATTTCTTACATTCTTTGGTTATGTCCTTTCGGGATTATTCTTATTTCTTATTTTTAGAAAATTTCTAGGGTTCGGTTAGGGTTTTCAATTTTGATGGTTCTCATGGACGGACTAATGAAGTACTACAGAGAACAGATAGTCTTTGAGATAAACAATACCTTGCTTGCCTTGACCAATAAAGTTAGTTCAATGCTTTCTTGAAATAAAAACATGACGATTGACAACAAGATTGAATGTCCTGTCAAAATGAACTTGAAATAAATCTGGACTTTTTTTAACTGTTGAATGACTTGTTTAATTATAGAAGAACTTCGAGTCATTTCTACAACATGCCAACAGCTCAAAAATGTCCTTTTCAAAAATGAAAAAGTCAAAATCTTTATTTGTAATTGATGTCTAAAAATACTAAACTGTTTTTTTTCGTTTTAAAATATCAATTCCTTTTTGAAATTGCACAAATAATGTTAAATCCCTTCTATCATAAATTCTAAATGAATGAATTAGTCAATGATTTTCACTGATAATTGATTTATTGATGGGTTTAAGAGATGATACTGTTTCTTATTTGCTAATATCAATGTCACTACAAAAACATAATGAATAGTAGCTTCTGGATGTAATTTAGATGATAATTGAAGAAGTGTTTGGTTGTATATTGTTTCAAATGAAATAGTTTTTGTGTTAGAATTAAGAATCACTGATTGAACACATTGTTCTAGTGTTGGGTAATCAAGTGTTTTTTGATGTTCTACACATTGGAGTGGATTTGTATTAAATTGTTTTGGTGGTTGAATAATATTCCATTGTGAATGACTCTGACTGAGACAAGTTGTTACTTCAGTGACACCAGATTTCATACCATTATCAATAAAAGTATCTTCAACTTCATCATAAGAAGAGTCATTCTCAATAATATCATCATCCCAATG